CACCCCCTTCCCCAACGAGAAAGCCCCCCCCCCCGGTGATTAACCCTTTTCCAACCTTTCAGGACATGCAGCGAGGTTCCCTGCTTCAGGTCCCAGATGCGCATGGTCCCATCTTCATATCCAACCACCGCTCTCTTCCCTGGATGAGACAGAACTGGCAGCTAGAGCCAGAGCCTCCCTCACCCCTCCACCTCCTGCTCAGCCCAGACTGGACAGAGCCAGGCACCCTGGGGTGCCCCTAGCTCTGCAGAAAAAGGGTGGCACATGGTTCCAGCAGGATCTGCAAGGGGCCTCATAGCCAGAGCTGGTGACACTCCCCTCCCCAGACAGCCTCTGTGCCTCACCATCAGGCAGGATCTTGCCACACGTGGCCGGGCACGCAGGGCCCTGGAAGGTTTTGCAGTCTCCGCTGGGGATCTTCCACATCCAGGAGTTGCCATCGGCTGTGCCCGCCAGAAGGACATGGGCTTGAGGATGCCACTCCATCCACTGCGCAGAGCGAGGGACATGCAATGTCACAGGGTGGCCTTGGGTTTAGAGGACCCCAGAGAAAGGATCAAACTCCCCCTTGCCCTGCCCTGGGCCAAAGTACAACCATGCATGACCCTAGCCCTGAGCCTGCTCTCATTAGCTCCGTGCTCAGCTTGGGCCTGCCATGAGAGGGTCCTGCTGCGGGCTCGAGCCCTCTTGGTGTTACTGTAAAGGGAAAAGTCTTCAACTTGGAGCTTGAGGGGCCTGAACTAGCCCTGCATGGAGCAGCCAGGAGGGTATTCAGGGACTACATGTTCACGCTGCACTGAGCGGCACCAAAATCTCCAGTGATGACTTTGCTGGATGATGGGTTCAACTGGTAGGACTGGCACGGGCCAGCATCCATCCCTGCCACCCAGCAGAGAGCAGAAGGGAGAGGAATCAGACCTGGGTCCCAGGTGCCAGCCCCATAAGAGCCAGTTCAGCCACTCACCTCCAAGTCCCCCACCTCAAAGGACCACACTTCTTCCTTGGTATCCACTCGCCACACTTTGATGAGCCCGGACATATCGCCTGTGGCCACAAACACAGAGTCGTGACTGAAGCCAGCACAAGTGACTGAGTCCTTGTGTCCTAGAGATGGCAGGAAGTAGAAATTATTTAATTACCAAATGCAGCTATGGAAGATGATCAGGAGCCTGGCTCCACCAGAGCACTGCGTGGGAGGAGAGCAGGTCTGGAGAGACGCTGCTGGGAGGGGACACGCCATAATTTCACCCCTATCATTTTCCCCAGTGCGCATCCTCCTGCAGCGTTCCCGCTGCCCCCCTGGTGCAGAGGATGACCTGGCCAAAGCACCTCACCTGAGCATTCAAACAGGAGCTCTCCATCACTCAGGCGCCACACGAAGGCCTTGTCATCCTCCCCACCTGTCACCGCCAGTGTGTTGGTCTTGGGGTCAAGGCTCACACAGAAAACAGAAGCTGCACAAAAGAGCAGAAAGTGACTACACAGCTCAGGCACTCCTCATGCCCCATCAGACATTGCCAAGGGCTCCAAACCACACAGTATCAGGACTAGGTGAGATGCCACCCAGCTGGACTAAAAACCCAAACCACTGGGGATCAGTTCTTCCCACTGGGTAGCGATTTGGGCCCTGCCAGAGCAGTACAGGCTGTCTGCCAAGCTCATTGCTAGCTGTCAAGGCCATGCTAGGAAGCCCTGAGGTCTGAAAGTACCTAGAGCAGAAGCTCCGCTCCTGATAAGGAGCATCCCCAAGGCTTCCACAGGAAGCTTCTCTACAGCAGGGTAGGGAAGAAACGAGCAAAGCTGAAAGCACCCAACTCTGAATTTTGATAAACGGCCCAGAAACAGCAGGGAGACAGCACACTAGCAAGGCCCTACCTGTGTTCCCTTCCACTGTGGAGAACAGGGATTGAAGCAGGTCCCAGAAGGCAGCACCCCCCCGGCAACCACCCCAGCAGAGCCCCGCTGTCCACTCAGGCTCACCACTCACCTGAGTGCAGGGAGAACGTGACCTCGCTGTCGTCCTGCGCCTCCATGCTGTCCTCCACCCCCTCATCATCCTCTTCTGTCTCCCAAGCCTCGGCATCAGGCTCATCTGCCCCCTCATCAAAGTCCACGTCCTCCATCTCGTCGGCCAGGTCATCTACAGAGAGCTAACGTCAGCGCCTGGTTGGCAGCCTGCCCCAGAGCCAGACCAGCTCAGCCTAAACAGGGCAACCAGCAGTGGGCAAGGACAGGGCCCCCGGGGAGTCCTGGTGGGAGCCAGGGCCAGCTCTGAGGGACGAAGGGGCTCGATCCAGCTAAGAGGACCGGTTTTGTGGGCGCAGGGGGCTGCGGG